CACAGAATAATTTCGAACGAACATTGGCATTTTCTTTTACGCAATAAAAATCTTTTATAATTAAAATTTTAAAATTTATCGTTATAATATCTTACGCAATACACCTTTTATAATAAATTTTTATAATAAAAATTTTAAATCGTTATAATATCTTAATAAAAGTTTTTATCGTTATATATCGATATAAATATGATAAAAATGTGCCGGATTACAAGATCTCAGATTTTAAACTGCGATTACGTAACTGATTTTGGTGGTCATGCTAGGGGGGTTCCATACGCATAATGATCGGACTTTATAATTATTATTTCAAGCTCAAAATGTTTTTAAACAACTTGATTACTGAATAAAAAATGGAAGGTCATAGAAATTTCGCATGCATAATTTATTTGATTATTGCAGAATGCCCTAAACTAAATTCGGTAAATAGATCACATTTTTCAAACCTTAATTTGTTAAGAGGGGGTAGTTTATGGTGTTTAAGGCAGATCGTATATACATATAATCTCGATACATTTTTAAAATAGTTTTTTGGTTTTTTTTTCTCATAAATAACCCGAATAATTTAAGCACGTTCTTTTGACGAAAAAAAAATTATGAATTTTATGAATTTTCTCAGCAAAAAAGGAGTGATGACAATTCGGAATAAAAAGATGAAAAAAAAGACTAATTTTATTTTTAAGTTTCAAGAAATCTTAGAAAAAAATTAAAATGCTTTCTGAGTCCGTTGTAGTCGAAGTTCGTATCGAAGAAACAACTTATATAAAGGGTCTGATTTTGGAGGTGGATATTGTTGAAATGTTGAGAAGCTCCGGTCTTGAAGTAATTCATGTAGGGTGAGCTTTTTCACTAAGTATTTGTTGAGTTATCATATATCCGAAGTTACGCTGTCCCATCAGTGTAAAATGTCTGAGAAGAATTGAAAGCTCTTCGTGGCCTATGTTTCAACATAGAACGTTCTTCTTCTCAGTTACTTGGTGTTCCTGCGGTTCGTATTGCCTACACGGGGAATTAATGGATGAATAGGATATATGCTAACTAATGAGCACGTCACCGTAGACTATTCCGGCCGTGTAATATTTAGTTGTTAATAATGATGATACATGTACTTACATATTATCTTTTATAGAAAAAGAGGAGATGGTGGTGTCGACATTATATGTAATATTGGAGAAAAAAAAATAATGATCCAATGTAAAAATTGGTACAACAATATAGGTAAATTATTATATTTATTTTATTATATTTATTTTTATTTATTATTAATTAATTGATTACAGGACCGGAAACCGTCAGATCATTGAGAGGAGTAATGTGTTTGGAAAAAAGTGAAGTTAGTAAAGTTATAGGTGTTGTCGTTGGGCAAAAATTTTCGTCAGGCGCTATAGATGAAGCGGGCAAATCTGATGATCATCCTATTATCTTGACAACAAAAGACCGTCTCTATAAACTTTTCTAAACTTAACCCTCGATATTATTAACGACACCCCTATCAAATTTTTCACGTATAACAAATTTATAATTAATCATTAATTTCGCTAACTATTGTCATTTCTTTTTTTAAATTCTCTATGGGGTACCCGAGCATTGACCTCCACGTGGTGTATCCTGGATTGTAACTAACGAATGCTCGTTTTTATTTTTTGCTGTACAAATAAAGCTGACCCCAGTTGCTGATTTCGCATACATAATCGGTTTACTTTTGCATGTGTATTTCGTGAATTTATCCTGCCTTCACGCAGACAGTCCACAGATAATAGTATAGACGTCATGTATCGCGGGCTAGTCCCGAACATTTGTATTTATTTTTCGCATGTATTAATAAAAAGTTTTTTCTTGGCATTGTTCGCTGAAATTTCATTAGTTTACATTAATACGATAAAGAATTGAATATATCCATATTTTTATAAAATATAAAAAATGGCAAACAAACAATCCAAAGTCGATTCATTAGAAGAACGAATTTCCAAGCTTGTAGCTGAGAATGATATACTTAGACAGGAAAACACTGAGATCAAGTCTGAGAACATCGAACTTAAAACTGAGAATGCAAAATTAAAACAGGCTTTGAAAGAACATGAATCCAGATTTATGAAACTGGAGCAGAACGATAAAGATACCGCTTCGGAAAATGCCAAACTTAAAGCTAGGGTTGCGAAATTGGAACAGAAGCAGTTACAAACTGACAAAGAAAAGAGCAACCATATTATATTACGAAGTAATGACCGTGCCAGCTTCACTGATGCCTTCGCATCTAAATCGGATGATACCACCTCCATTGAAACGGAAAATTCTAACGATGCTCCTGAACAGACAAACTTACATTGTAATGAGTCAGAGACTTGTGGCTATACTATTGATACTCTTGCAATTAATATATCTGATAACACTTCAAATTCTGATGTATGTCAGGAGTTTTCATCCCAATATTCCGCATCATCCGTCTGCACAGAGAGTAAGTCATTGGAAGACAAGGAAATAGATGAATTCGTAGATTCAATATATGAGGAACAGGTTAGTAAAGAGATAATTCAGAGAATTAGGGAGAAGAAACTTCGGGAACAAGAATTATCCTCTATATCGGTTGAAGAATTATGTAGTGAAAAGGTGAGACCAAAAGTCCCACTTGAGCAAAACAGCAAATCGGTGCCGATACAGCCTGAAGAAACAAAAGTTTCGCATGATTATATAGTCGCCCAAGATTTTATTCAAGAAGTGTCTTCAGGGTTCACAGATGAGGAAACCATCGAAGTCGTTGATGTACTCACTACCAATACGACAATAGAAGTTGAGCTAGCTCATTTGTTTCTAAAAATAAGTATTGAAGGAAAAAATACTATACAAGCTAAACAGAAAGAGATTTCATGTCGTTACTCATATGGAAAAAGATTTGAAATGGGAGTTCAAGAACTTATGGTAAAGGAAAACATTTCAGAACAGACAGCGAGAAAACGATTATTCCAGGATATAATAAAACACCTTTCTGGATTAACTTTGGAAACCTTACGTAAAAGAACCCAAAGATCTATAAAACTTTACAAATTAATCGAAAAGATAGGAGTTGATAAGATTAAGAATATCAAGACATTCAGTGCGGATTCTATTTCAAAGTTTACACAACCTCAAATTCAAATAATTCTGGATTATTTTAATGAAGGTGAAAAAGTGAGACCAAAAGTCCCACTTGAGCAGAATGGCGTTGTCAATCATGTATCTAATACAGATTCTACTAATATTATCAGCAGAGCTGACATGACCAAGAAGACCTCACCGATAGCTCAGGCAAGCGCACCACCTATATTTGAACCAGAAGTCGATGTAAGTATATCTCCTGTTTCTGTCAATTCGAAAACCAAGATAAGTGTGGGTTCTACGTCTAAAACTGGAAAAAAAGCTTTATCCAAGAAGACCCTATCTGAAAAGCAAAATAATCTAGCATATACCCGTGGTTATTTTCGTAGCAAATTATTGGAGCAATATCCCGATTTATATAAAGAATGTAGTAGCGAAAATTTTGATTATTATAGGATTAATGCTGAATCACTATGTCCGATATGCAAGTTAATTCATGAGGATGAAGAAGGTATAGAAGCTGAATATAAAGATGGATCTTACTATATTAAATGTGAAGCATCTGAAATTGGCCGAATAATCATTGCCGATTTTTCATCACGGCAAATTTATGAATTCGACCCTTTATTTTCGTCCCCACACTTAACTACAATATCATATCAAGGACAGGGTTGCCAAGAAGAAATTGCCATTCGTAAATACGGTAATTTACCAGGTATATAATTTCGGTGTGATAAAATTGCCTTTATATTCATGTATATTATATGTAACATAAATCTACTTAAAAATCGTTGATTTGATTGGTTGATCGAGGGGAAATTTTCGCACTTTAATAGATATAACGGAAAGTTAAAGTTTTCAAAGTTCATTATACTACATTACGATTCTAAAATCATTTTTGAGCTAGTACTAAAAAAAATAAAAAGAAAAAAGGTTTCTTTTCGAAAAAATATTTTCTAACCGAAATTTTAACACAGATTTCAAATTTCTAAAAAATTCTACTGCAAACACAAATGACATAAAAATCTGTAATTATAAAATTTTATATTTGAACTTTCCATTCTCTCACCATATCTACAAATAGCGAATCAACACGATAAGATATTTTATGATAATCCGCATAACTCAAAAATCCTTCAAGCATCAACACTCTTAAGGCCTTGACGAAAAGTGCTGCCACTTGTTGACCATTTGGTTTGGGACATGGATACTAAAGTGTCAAATATTAATCTCAAATATATATTTGTCTACATAAATATACATTATTCCATAATAAATACTTACTTGGTTGATCGCTACTTTTTTGGCGAATTCATTCAACTCAGGAGACTGTCTTATCCTTACTATACTGAACCTGGTTAAGTTATTTTTATAAATATAACGCGTAATTAAATCGGTAAACGCTTCTTCTGTATGTGAAGATTGGTTATCCGAATTTTTCATTCTTTCGAAAATTCGAGTACTTGGCATTGAAGTATTTGGAACTGATTCTGGCACCTCTGAAACCATCGATAAAATAGGTGGTACTTCCTGTTTGAGTAAATAAAAAGATATTAATCGGCAAAAATATATATATCGAAAGGAAGTTCTATTCACAAAATACCTCGACATCGCTGACATTATTAATGGTTATCGTTCTTTTAGAAAGAATAAATGGTCTTGAGTAAACATCCTTTTTTAGCGTAAGAATTTCTAACCATCGAAGTAACTCAGCGTTGGGGTCCTTTTCGGCCCCTAAAAAGTATATATTATAAAAAAAAAGAATAATATAAAATAAACTGATTATGAAAGTATATCAACTTTTACTTACACATTCTCCCATAGCTGTTACCAATTTCTCTTTTACCGTTATAATCTTTTATTTTCCCAATAACTCTTATAACTGTTCCACGATCAAACTTTGGCTCCAATATCGGTCCATCATCATTTTTGAAATCTATAAATTCAATTGTAGCTGATCCATCGTCAACTTAAATAATTACTGCTTATGAGTAACGCGAATTTTTACAAAAAAATAAGCGCAAAATAAAATATTCATAATTTAACCTTACGTGTGTATTTAGTATATTTTTTGCCTTCATTTATGTCAAAAGCGGTTACTGTCGCAATTATATCGACTTCTTGGATTGGATGATTTCCATAAAAAAAGCCATGAGTAATTTTGGATCCTACAAAACAAAGAATCCTATTTAAAATCGACATTTTTTACATTATTAATAAAACACTATTACAAAACAAACCTTCTATAAACTGAACTGTCTTGAGATTCAATAGGTCTTTAATAAATAATTTCACATTGGTTTGATAAATAGGATCAAATTGCCAATATTTTGGTGCATAGTAGATTCTTTTTCGATTTTTAGTGTTGAGAGAAGAATTAGAAGCCATTTTTTTTTGTGTATCTTCTAACAAATCTTAAAATTTATAAAAATTAACGAGATTGCCAAAACATCACTGCAAATCATTCCATTTTGGGGGATGTCTAAAAGCGGAGATATATAAATTATATATATATATATATATATATATTTAATTAAGTTTAAAGCTAGGGCCATTTTAGGTTAGGGTTAACATAGTAAAATTGCTTCCCCGACATTTTTCATCAATGCTTCAAAGCATGTTCAGATTGCCGTTTCTTCTATTTTTCATGTTTTTGCTTCATGAATTTAATTTACAGATTTATAGAATTTTAATCCGATTAATCCGATGATCGTCCACATGATGCATTGCATGATCGTCTGATCGTCTGATCGTCTAATGTAGCATTTAAAATTGTTTCAGTTTTATAAACCGTTCCGAACATCATCAGAATCTGTCTACTTTGTAAATATCAGATATCGATATTGACATATAACTTCCCGTTTCCGCAGAAAATGACTACCTTAACCCTCCCCATAATCGACCTTGGTCTTTATCTTAATGATAAAAATGATCCTTTAGCTATTAATGAATGCAAAAAGACTGCGAAAGCTTTAAAAGACTATGGGGCTTTATTGGTTAAAGATCCTAGAGTAACCGAAGCAGATAATTCTAAATTTATTGATTTAATAGAAGACTACTTTGATCAACCATTTGAGGTTAAACTCAAAGATGCCCGCCCAGAAATTGGTTATCAAGTTGGCGTTACTCCTGAGTTCAAAGAAGAACCGAAATGCCATCGTGATCCTAATTGTCAAAGTTTAATAAACAAAATGCCTGAAGAAAGCCGTCCTTTAATTTCCACAGGACCTGATCCAAAATGGCGTTTCTTTTGGCGTATAGGTGAACTACCACAAGAAACAAAATTTCCTCAGCTTAATGCTGAACCGGTTGTTCCTGATGTTTTTAAAGACACCTGGCCTACCATCATGAATCAAAGAGGGAATCAAATGCACCAAGCTGTAGTTGGTGTTGCAGAAATGCTGTCCGTCGGATTTGGTTTGCCTGCCAACACTTTTCCTGATCTTACAAAATATGGTCCACATTTATTGGCTCCTACTGCAACTGATTTGAATAAATACGGAAAACTTGGTATGATATGTGCCGGCTTTCATTATGATATTAATTTTTTGACTATTCATGGTAAAAGTCGATTCCCCGGCCTGCATATTTGGCCACGTAACGGTGATCTCAAGATGCAAGTTCATGTACCGGAAGGCCATTTATTAGTTCAAGCCGGTAAACAACTTGAATGGTTAACAGGCGGTGAAATTACTGCGGGTTATCATGAAGTTGTCGTAACAGAAGCAACTCTACAAGCTATCGAAAATGCTAAAATAACCCGTCCAAATCGCCCTCTTTGGAGAATATCCTCAACATTCTTTTTACATATCGCGAGTGACAATATGCTGCAACCTCTCGAAATATTTAATTCCAACCCTACTCTTTATCCACCCATTTTTACTG